GGGGCTGCAGAGTGGGACATGGGGACAGCCACCCTCCCTGGGGGAGGGCAGGACACAGGGACAGCCACGCTCCCTGGGAAGAGAGGGACACGGGGAAAGCCACCCTCCACAGGGCTGCAGAGTGGGACGAGGACACAGGGACAGCCACCCTCCCTGGAGCTATGGAGCAGGATTTGGGGACAGCCACCCTCCCCAGGAAATAATGGGACATGGGGACAGCCACCCTCCCAGGGAAGGAGAAGGACATGGGGACAGCCACCCTCCCCAGGGAAGAGCCTCCCCACCTTCCCCAGGAGGAGCACACGGGGGCACAGCTGGCAGGAAATGCCCAGCGGAGCTCGGCTGCTGATGAAACTCGGAGTAACAGCAGCAAGGGAAGGATTTGAGGATGGAAGGGAAATTTCTGAGGTCACATTTGTCAYAGGGAACAAGGGAAGGGGCTGACAGCAGAGCTGAGCTCACACAAATCATCCTTTGGGGTTGTTCAGTCTGGGGAAAATGGGATCAGGGGGATTTTGGGGTTCTGAACAACTCCCTGACAGGAGGAGGGATTTGGGATCTCATCCCAGGGAACAGGGACAGGAGAGGGAAGGGCCTCAGGCTGGGCCAGGGGAGCTTTAAATTGGATTTTAGGGATAATTTTTCCATGGAAATGGTGGCCAGGCCTTGGCAGGGGCTGCCCAGGGAGGTTTGGGGTGCCCATCTCTGGAGGTGCCCAGGGAATTCCTGGAGGTGACACTCAGAGCTCAGGGCTGGGGACAATGTGGGGATTTGGCACAGCTTGGACTCGACCCCAGAGAGCTTTTCCAGCCTGAGTGAGCCCGGGATTCTGTGATCACTCCCTTTCCTCTGGATATTCAGCCCTGGTGAGCTGTGCCAGGCACAATTCTTGCACAGAAGAGAGAACCTCAGTGCCACCCTCATGCCACAGAATCACAGTTGGAAAACATCTCTGAGATCCCTGATCCAACCAGACCTATTGTGCATTCCATAAAACCCAAACTCTGCTCTCTGAGTTCACCTTCAGATCCCCAGCAGGTTCCCTGAGCAGAACAAAACCCAAAATTCTCACCCAATCCCCAGAACCACCCACCACGTTCTCCAAGGGCGCGGCGCCGAACACTTTGAAGACAGGGTTGGGTTTGGAGGGTGAGATGCACAGCACGATGGCCTGCTGCCCCACTCTGGTGGTGTATTCATCCAGCGTGGCTCGCAGCTTCCTGAAAAACAGGGAAAAATTGGGAATGAGATGAAAGCCCTGCAGGAAAACAGCCCCTCCTGTGATAAATCCCTTTTTTTGGTGCTGCAGTGTGAGGAGCAGAGCTCCAGATGCTTGGCTTGACCACAAATTCCATTTATTCCCCCTTTCCAATGTCCATTCTTGTCTTTTCTCTCTTTTTCTCATTGATATAAAAAAGAGAAATCAGCAGAGCAGCTGATCCTCTCTAGAATCAGAGGCTTATCTCTCCTCAAACTGGCAAATCTCAGCTCAATCCCAGGTATAAGTGACAAATTTCAGCCTGAAGTTTTCCTTACAATCACAAAATTCTGTATTTTATTTTCCAAGCACACTGGAAAGCTCCCAAATATGCCCCAAGTCTGCACTTCCATCCTGTCTCAGCAACACAAAACTTGAGTTTTATTGGGGCACTTGAATGATTCACCTAAAGAGGCCTGAAGATGGAGGTTCTTTTATATCCAGATTATCGATTAATTGGTTAAAATCTGGTTATTTTATATCCAGATCAACAGTCAATTGGTTAAAACCTGGTTATTTTCCATCCAGATCATAGGTTAATTAAAATCTCATTCTTTTCCATCCACATCATTGGTTAATTTGTTAAAATCTGGTTATTTTCCACCCAGATCATCGATTAATTAAAATCTCATTCTTTTATATCCACATCATCGATTAATTGGTTAAAATCTGGTTATTTTATATCTAGATTATTGGTTAATTGGTTAAAATCTGGTTATTTTATATCCATATCAACAGTCAATTGGTTAGAATCTGGTTATTTTATATCCAGATTATTGGTTAATTGGTTAAAATCTGGTTATTTTATATTCAAATCATCATTTAATTGGTTAAAATTTCTGTTTTTTACATCCAGACCATTGGTTAATTGGTTTAAATCTGGTTATTTTATATCCAGATTATTGGCTAATTGGCTAAAATCTGGTTATTTTATACCCAGATGATCAGTTAATTCATTAAAATATGGTTATTTTCCATCCAGGTCATTGATAAATTAAAATTTCATTCTTTTCCATCCAGATAATCAGTTAATTGATTAAAATCTCATTCTTTTACATCCAGATTATCAGTTAATTGGTTAAAATCTGGTTATTTTATATCCAGATTATCAATTAATTGATTAAAATCTCGTTCTTTTCCATCCAGATCATTGGTTAATTGGTTAAAATCTGGTTCTTTTCCATCCAGATCATCAATTAATTAAAATCTCATTCTTTTACATCCACATCATCATTTAATTGGTTAAAATCTGGTTATTTTATATCATGACCATTGGTAATTTGTTAAAATCTGGTTCATTAATTGATTAAAATCTCGTTCGTTTACGTCCAGATCAATGGTTAATTGGTTAAAATTTGGTTATTTTATATCCAGATCAACAGTCAATTGGGTAAAATCTGGTTATTTTATATCCAAATCATCATTTAATTGGTTAAAATTGCCTTCTTTTACTTCCAGATCAATGGTTAATTGGTTAGAATCTGGTTCTTTTCCATCCAGATCATCAATTAATTAAAATCTCATTCTTTTACATCCACATCATCGATTAATTGGTTAAAATCTGGTTATTTTATATCCAGCTCATCAGTTAATTTGTTAAAACCTGGTTATTTTATACCCAGATGATCAGTTAATTGGTTAAAATCTGGTTATTTTCCATCCAGATCTTCGATTAATTAAAATCTCATTCTTTTATATCCACATCATTGATTTATTGATTAAAATCTGGTTATTTTATATCCAAATCATTGATTAATTGGTTAAAATCTGGTTATTTTATATCCATATCATCATTTAATTGGTTATAACCTGGTTATTTTATATCCAGATCAACAGTCAATTGGTTAAAATCTGGTTCTTTTCCATCCAGATCATCAATTAATTAAAATCTCATTCTTTTACATCCACATCATCATTTAATTGGTTAAAATCTGGTTATTTTATATCCAGATCATCAGTTAATTGGTTAAAATGTGGTTCTTTTCCATCCAAATCATCGTTTAATTGGTTAAAATCTGGTTATTTTATATCCACATCATCAGTTAATTGGTTAAAATCTCCTTCTTTTACGTCCAGATCACCAGTTAATGTGTTAAAATCTGGTTCTTTTATGCCCAGATCATCAGTTAATTGGTTAAAATCTGGTTTATATCCAGATTATTGGTTAATTGGTTTAAATCTGGTTCTTTTCCATCCAAATAATTGTTTAATTGGTTAAAATCTGGTAATTTTATATCCAAATCATCATTTAATTAGTTAAAATCTGGTTATTTTATATCCAAATCATCATTTCATTGGTTAAAATCTCCTTCTTTTACGTACAGATATTCAGTTAATTTGTTAAAATCTGGTTCTTTTCCATCTAGATCATCAGTTAATTAAAATCTCGTTCTTTACATCCACATCATTGGTTAATTGTTTAAAATCTGGTTCATTTATCTCCAGATCATCATTTAATTGGTTAAAATCTCGTTCTTTTATGTCCAGATCATTGGTTAATTTGTTAAAATCTGGTTCTTTTCCATCCAGATCATTGATTAATTGATTAAAATCTCTTTCTTTTCCATCTACATCATCATTTAATTGGTTAAAATCTGGTTCTTTTCCATCCAAATCATTGGTTAATTGATTAAAATCTCTTTCTTTTCCATCCACATCATTGTTTAATTGGTTAAAATCTGGTTATTTCACATCCAGATCAACGCCTAATTAATGAAAATTTGGTTATTTCACATCCAGATGACAGCAATGTGACTCCCCAGCACCAAAGTCCTGCTCAGAGCAGATTTGTGGCAATTCAAGCTGCAGGATGGGCAAGAATTGGAAATATTGCACCAGCTCTGGGAAATGCAGGTGGCCCCACACCTCCCCCAGCCCTTCAGAGCCATTTCCCCRTGGGATGGAAATGTTCCATCGGATATTTTCCATCTCTGACTCACTCTGAAGCAGTGCAAAAATCAGAAATGGTGGCAGAAATTTTTAAAATAAGAGAAAAGGAGCATTTTCTTCACGAGGTGATAGCTCAGTCCTGGTCATTTTAGAACCTGCATCACCAGCACCACCAGCTCTGCAAAAATCCCARAATCAGGAGCCTGAATTTGATTTCCAGTGATGTGAAAATCAAGCACCAACACACATTCAACCAATCAAAGTGGGAAAAAATTCTATTTTATCATTTATGTATCATCATCTTAGTAATTGTGTGA